GCTTGGATAAAGATCCCTTTCAGTTCTGAGGTTTTTCCATATTCAAATTTGCTTTACAGCGATAGGAAGAACAACCCGCGGATTTACGTACATTTGGGTCAGAATTTGGCTGACTTGTAGCATCAGCAGTTTTACATGAACAAAAATTTCAATTTCATTAGTACAGCCAAGTTAATTTTGCTGGGGTGGCAGTATGTTCTGAGAGGCAGAATGGCCACGGAGCCAGAAGTCAGGAGGCCTGCACTGTCTTGCTGCCCTGCCACTAGCTGGAGGAGAGCAGACCAGCCCGAGGGAAGCCGGCAGACTTCTCGGACCTTCGCCACCTCATTTCTAAACTGGAGGTAATAATAATAATAAAGTGCGCCTGTAATCCCAGCACTTTGGGAGGCTGGGGTGGGTGGATCATGAGGTCAGGAGTTAAAGACCAGCCCGGCCAAGATGGTGAAACCCCGTCTCTACTAAAAATACAAAAATTAGCCAGGTGTGGTGGTGGGCACCTGTAATCCCAGCCCTCAGGTGGCTGAGGCAGAGAATTGCTTGAACCCAGAAGGGAGAGGTTGCAGTGAGCTGAGATCACATCACTGCATTCTGGGCTGGGCAACAAGAGCGAAACTCTGTCTCAAAATAATAATAATAATGATAAATAAATAAATAAATAAAGTGTTTCATTTACTTCAGGTTTGTTCTGAGGGGTTAATGTATGTAACACAGCAATGATTTGATAGGTTATTATCAAAATGTAACTGAAAGAAAATTATTGGTATATCTATTTATCAAGATAATACAGGCTTTTTCTATTTACCTTGAGTGCTCTGCCTACCCCTAGGTCCCTTTATAGTGTTCCAGTTTCCATCCTTTTGTGTCCTGCTGGATGGATGAGATGGAGGAGGAACTATTTTATGAGAACCTCCAATGTACAAGGCACTGGCCATATGTGGTTTTTAGTTAGTTTGTTTGTTTGTTTGTTTGAGATAGACTCTTGCTCTGTCGCCCAGGCTGGAGTACAGTGGTGCGATTTCAGCTCACTGCAACCTCTGCCTTCCAGGTTCAAGTGATTCTCCTGCCTCAGCCTCCCAAGTAGCTGGGACTACAGGCATGTGCCACCACGCCTGGCTATTTTTTGTATTTTTAGTAGAGATTGGGTTATACCACCATATTAGCCAGGCTTGCCTCGAACTCCTGACCTCAGGCAATACACCTCCCTCGGCCTCCAAAAGTGTTGGGATTACAGGCATGAGCCACTGTGCCCGGCCCTGGGTTTTTTTGTTTTTTGTTTTTCTTTTTTAGCTCCTTACAACATTCCTGTAAGGAATAATTGTATTATTAGTTGGGATTCTTTTAGTTGTCAGTAACATAAATCTGACTCAAACTAGTTTAAGTTAAAAAAAATAGGTGGGGTACATTTATTTGGTTCATATAACCTAAAAGTCAATGGGCATTCTGGCTTCAGGCATAGCAGGATCAAAGGGCTCAATGGATCCTTTCACATTGTTTTTACTTTGTCTCTCTAGTTCTTCTCTCAGCTTTTTCTGTGTTGACGTCATTTTTTTTTCTTTTTTTTTCTTTTTTTTTTTTGAGATGAAGTCTCGCTCTGTTGCCCAGGCTGGAGTGCAGTGGTGTGATCTATGCTCACTGCAACCTCTGCCTCCCAGGTTCCAGCGATTCTTGTGCCTCAGCCTTCAGAGCAGCTGGGATTACAGGCGTGTGCCACCATGCCCAGCTAATTTTTGTATTTTTTTCATAGAGATGGGGTTTTGCCATCTTGGCCAGGCTGGTCTCGAACTCCTGACCTCAGGTGATCTGGCTGCCTTGGCCTCGCAGAGTGCTAGGATTACAGGCATGAGCCACTGCGCCCAGCCCTGATGTCATTTTTCTGGTATATTCTCTCTACATGGTGAAAAGATAACCCCATGGCTAAGATAACTTCGAGCCATATGGCTTGTTTTCTCGAAGAAAAGAGAAATAGACCATCTCTCTCCTAGTGGCCACATCAAATCTCCCATAAAGACTGGATCTGTTTCAGTCACATGTCACCCCCTGGACCAATCACTCTATCCATGGGTATGGTGTCCATGGTTCTGGTTGGGCAATCTAGGTTATGTCTATTATAGTCAAATCTGGCCTGGGGGGCCAGACGCAGGTTTTCCTGCAGCTTTTTTGGGCCCGTGAAAAGCTTGGTTAGCCCAGGCCAGACTAACCATGCCTCTGTTGATGGAACATTAGGGTATGTGAGCATTGGAAAGGGATCCAGAGGTCCCTGAGCCCAACCCAACCATGGCCAAACAAGAGAAGGATCTTGTCCTAGGTGGTGTGGTGAGGCAGTACCACTCCAAGTCCTTTCCTTTGCCTGTGCCACCTCTATCGGGAGGATTCCGTGAGCTTCTTCTGCAGGAGCAACTGAAGGATCCTGGCAGAGAGAGGCGTAGAAACTGTGGGTCACATGCAGGCTACATCAGGCTGCCCCTGAGCTGCCCTGTCTTTTCTATCTCTTTGTCTTCTCACCTCTCTGGGCCACTACTTGGTCATGTAGTTGAGATTCTGGCTCTTCAGAGTCCCATTTCAGATGGGGCCTAGAGTGAGGGTACCTCTGGGCTTAGCCAGTCCTCTGCCTTTTCTTTCACCTCTTTTTTCTAGGGAAGGTGGTTCCTGAGACAGAGTCTGCCCCAAATTATAAAATCAAACAGAAAAGACGTCAGAGGGAGAAGCAGGGTGACTGTCGCCAAAGAGGCCCCTTTTCCCCACAAAGGAAGCCAGTGAGAGAGAACAGCCTCTGTTGACAGAACATTATGGGGGCTGCCTCACATCTGGTGTGGGCAGGGAGGAGGGGCTGCTGTGCCTGGCGGTGCTACTTCTGATGTCCTAAATGTGTCTCCAGAATTTCCCCCTCAACAGACTCTCTTCATGATGCCACTGCCAAGTTGTGAAAAATGGATCAAGGGCACAGGCTGGCTTCATGGAGGTCAAAGCAAGTAGTCATCATCTTGTAGCTGGAAGGAAAAACAGCTTTGCTTTTTCTGATTTGCCTATTTTCCTTTTTCTACTCTTCCTTGTTTGTAAGCGGAGGAGCTTGTTTGCAGTTGGTCACTGGATTTCTCTTCTGCAGCCCTGGTTATCATTTGCACCATAGTTGTTGCATGCTCCTATGGCAGGTTCCTGGAGAGCTCACTTTTGTGCACAATGCCCTTGGCATATTCAGGGCAGCAGGTACCCCCCACATGTGGCCATGCCTCTCACTGTTTAGATGCACCCATGGCTCCCTGACATCTGTAGGAGAGAGCCCAAGCTTCTTCCATGACAACGAGAATCTGGCTTATCTTTCCAGCATTTTCTCTTTCTGTTCCTAGTCACATTCACAGACATACCACACAAAACTGTTTGTGGATTGCAGGACACCCTACCCCTTATCATGTTTCTGTGCCTCTTTTCATGCAGTGGCTTCTTTCTGGAATCACCTGCCTCCACCCACCTTTCATGCAAACAATTTCTACTCCACCTACTTTCAAGATCCAGTTCAAATATCACCTTCACTGTGAAGCCTTCCTAATTTCCCCACAGCATGAATGACCCCCTCATCCATGCTCCTGCTCCTTTCCCTACCTTCTCTATTATATACCTCTTTACTAGACTTTTTGTGTGTCTGCAGGGGCGTGGTATAGTAAAGGCAAAAGAACATGAGCTTTGCCTTTTGGTCTGGGTTTGGAACTTGCTGTGCCATATATTAGCTGTATGTCTTTGCAGAAGTTATCTGACCATTGGGACCCCTTTCTGTCTTTACTTGTCAATGAGCATAATTAAACTGTGCTGAAGTATTTTGTTGGGGATGAAATGGACCAACCTGTGATGTGCCTGCCATGGTGCTTGGCACAAGATAGTTCTTAAAAACTGGTAGGGTGGTAGATACAGTTATTGTGATTATTATTGAATCATTAAATCTTAGCAATGAAAGAGACCAGAGGGGACATTCTCATGCCTTCAAAGCCTGATTCATATTCCTTTGTCAGATTAACATCTAGCTTCCCCTTGAACTCTGGGACAGGTAGTTCACCTTCTTCCTAATCTTTTATGATACTTAATTCTGACAGTGCAGAGGTTGGCTTGTCCATAGACTTACTCTGTGTGTATTTGGAGGAGTACTTTAAATTGTTAGTTATATGTGTGTATGCATGCATATATGCATGTATATGTGCCTGTGCATATATATATGTATGTATGTATGCATGTCTATATGCATTTAGTGATGTTAGACCATGTAATGTTTCCTAAACAGTCTTACTGAAAAATATGGGTTAGGAAGAAACAAAGGAAACTAACCTGTAAAGCAAAGTTGTGAGTGGCTTTGGGTTTTCTCAGACCTTTTGTTTCTAGGTCTGTTTGCATCTGTTTCTTTTTGCTTGCCTCTGAGCAGAATGCCAGTAGAAATTGTGGCTTGTGGTGTTGCTGCAACTATCAAAGATACTTTGGCTGTGATAGATGAAGAGAGAACACAATCTGAGTGACATAGTAACATGGTGCATCTAAAAATTGTAATATTTTGTTGGCAGAGAGAAGGCAAAGTTGTTTTCTAATGTGGTTTAGGAGCAAGGAATCCTTAGTTGTTTTGTGGTACTTTGGCCTCAGTTTTCTCATCTGCAAAGTGGGAGCACTGGGCACTAAGGGTTGGGGTAAAGAGGAGGCAGAGGTTGACTCTGTACCTGAGAACTAACTACTTCCCTTCCCCGTTCAACTGGAGCTACTCAATCTTTATTTTTTAAAGCTGAGTTATGCATTTGAGTTCCTTATATTATTTAAAATAAAATACTCTGTTGCTTCAAAAATGTGAAAACCTCCAAACTGTGTTGTCTTTTGGGCTTCTTCCTGCTCTAAAGATTATTATGGCTGTAAATAAAGCAAAGTTATATTTTTCTTGACTTTCTAATATACATTAATTTTGTAAGAAATTTTCTAAAATGAAACAAAATCTAGTTTTAAAAACTTTTTAAAAGATTTTTTTTTGGTCTTTTCTCTCTGATTTGCTTAACTGCAGCAAAAGTCAATTTTTTTTTTCTTTTTCTTCCAAAATTTGCTTTACTCTGACAATCAAAATTCCACTAAGAATAGGAAAAAAGTCATAGCTGTGGTATGGAGCAGAAAGGTAAGTATCATCCTTAATATTCCTTTGTATATTTTCATACTAGGCCAGTACTTAGAGAAACTATGACATAGTTAAAATGTGAATTCAGCATCATTCCTCTCTCTTTTCAGCAGTTTCTTTTTCCAAGGCCCTCCAGATGACCTCAATGAATCATAATGGTGAAAAGAACATAAAAATATTTTTGCCTAAATGTATCACTTTATAGATGTGGAAAATGGGACTCTGTGAGAAGGATGAATTTGTATAGGATAAGGTAACCAGCCATAACTCAAACTGGTCTTTTCTAGTTTAGTTCTCTCTAGTTGGTCTAGGAAGCCTCCTGGCACTTCAGTTTTCTTACTGTAAAATGGGGATGATAATAATAGTATCTACCTCATAGGGTAGTCTTGAGTATTACATGAGAGTAGAACACTTAGAACAATGCTTGGGCTATGGAAAGTTTCCAATACTTGTTTGCTGTTATTATCATTATTATACTTCCACATTCTGCCAGCAGGCTGCCCAAGGTGCACACACTAATGGAAATACCCCATTTGGGGACCATGCTGCTGTCTTCCATTCTCAAAACAAGTCACTATAAAAATTTCCTCTTGTGGCATTCTATTCCCCAGGGCACTGTTTCTCTGCTGGGTGACACTGGAAGGGTAATTGATTTTATTCAGATAGATGAACTCCATGTTAAAATATTGCTTAATGTTACCATTGCCTAGTAATAATACCTTAACTCAGTGAAAATGTATGCGCCTCCATAAACCTTAAAGGGCTGACTTTAATGGGACGACTTCATATTTACCTGGTAGGTGAGTGGGTAAGTCGTTTTTCATCAAACAAGTCTTTTGTCTTACCTTGAGGTACTGCCTTCTCTGCTAGAATGCATGGGGCCAGCCAAGCATCCTCATCACTCTCACCTCTAATTTCTGGAAAACGAATACCAGTTACGAAGTGGGTGAGCATTTATGATTTAGAGACCATTTTTTTCCTTTGTTAAGGTCAGGTGAATGGAACTTGAGCAGTGAAGAAAAACTAGTCCTCACTTCTGATCATTTAATGGATAAAAAATTAATTCTGAGAGTGTGATGGAAAGAAGTACTACCTGTCACTGAGGAAAAATACTGTATAGGGCATGCCCCACCCTGAATCTCAGGAACCCTGAGAACCAGGTTTGAAATAGCGCCTGGTGGTGGCCTCACCTAGAAGGAAGTTTGACGGACCCTTCTGTGATGTCGCTTGCAATCATCTTGGGCATGGATTCCCCCAGTCCTTGGTTCCTCTCTTCCTCTGTCCTCCCTCCCTGACTCCCAACTTCATACCTGGTCCTGTTCTTCCAGAGCATTCTACTTTACTGACATTGTGCATGACCTAGGGGAACCCTGACAGTGAGTTGCAGCTTTGTGGAGCTGAAACTTTGTCACCATCCACAGCCGCCCAGCCAGCCCCCAGGAGGGACTCTCTTGAGTAGCGTGTGGCATTGAACTGAAGAAACTTACCTCCTCACTGTTGGTATATTTTCTCCTTTTCTTCCGCACGAGACGGGGTTGCGGGGAGAGAGATAGAGGGAGGGAGGGAGGGAGGGAGGGAGACAGAGAGAGCGAGAGAGCGAGAGCAAGCCCCTTTAGCAAGAAAACATCAAGACTTTCCGAGTGTGTGGTTCCCTTCGTCCCCATCAGTAGCTTTAATATTTCAAAATGGACCCGGTTCTGTGGCGGGTCCGAGAGTGAGGCTGTGGGGGACCTCCAGGCAGAACCTCCACGGAGCCTCGCGGCTGCTGCGTGCCCCGAGAGGATACGGATTTCCCTTCCCTCCTACTTGCGCGCGGAGCCCAGCTCTTGTTGAGGTGCAGGTTCCGGGAGCCCACGCAGCTCCGCCGGTCGGTAGTGGCCGCGGCTGCCCTGCGGGGGCGGGTGTGCCCGGCCGGGGTCGGAGCCGCGCGTGTGCCCGGCAGACGGCGGTGCCCACGTGCCCCTCCCTCCGCGCCCGCGGTGACAGCCCAGACGCCAGCCCGGGCGCTGACAGACGACTTTTCTCACTTGTCAGTTTTCTCGTTTGTCAGCAGAGCTGCTGGTAAGTGAGAGAAAACAGAGGGGCGCGAAGGCAGCGCGGCCAGGCAGTGAGCGGGGCGCGGGGCGCGGGGCGCTGGGCGGAGCCGGGTGCTCGGCCTCCGGGTCAGGCCCCACCGCCCGCGCAGGCTCCTGCTTGGCTCAGTCGCCGCTTTTCTCTCCCTTTCTTCACTTTCTTCCTCTTCCTCTTCCTCTTCCTCCTTCTCCTCCTCACTTTCTCTCCTCGCCACCCAGTCCTGCTTTTCTCCTCCAAACCCTTTAGCAGCGCGCGCTGATCTCTTATGTGGCTTTGTGTGGGGGTAGGGGAAGAATACGAATAGACCTGAGGTGCTTTCTCTTAGAGCAGAAGCCCTATCCCTATCCCTATCCCAATCCCAATCCCAATCCGTATCTCTATGCCTATCCCTGGGCATTAGCCCGGGACCATGGCTGGTTCCCGCAGCTGCCTCCGGGGCGCACCTGGGGCCGTGGTTTCCCGCGATCGGAGTCCGCTCTAAGTCTGAGTCTGGGGGCGCAGAAGGGGGAGCGCGCCGATAAAGTGCCAGGCAAACGCGCGCCGCGCCCGGCTGGGCATCTCGGGCTGGGCGAGGAGACGGGAAGGGGATAGCCCAAACTCTCTCAGCTTCACCGCCAGTGGTCACCTACTTGCAGCTATGGAGTCCCCAACCAAGGAGATTGAAGAATTTGAGAGCAACTCTCTGAAATACCTGCAACCGGAACAGATCGAGAAAATCTGGCTTCGGCTTCGCGGGCTGTAAGTCCACCTATTTACTTCTCCTGCCCCATTTCCCGCTCCCATCCTTATTTTACTACACATCCGCAGTCACGACTGTTCACCCCGTTCCTGCATGGCCCTTTAAATACAACCCTAGAAGTTCCACAACTGCTGCTCTGTTAATTACAGTCACTGCTACTTTTCTTCCAACACAGAGAGGGTTGTCTTTCTGTCTTAGAATGGCTTACTGTTCCAAGTCATGCTTTTTGGGGGGTTAAGGAGAGATGTCCTTTGATGAGTCAGTTATGGTGGCCCAATACTCAGTGAGGTGTTTCTGATCCTTTTTGCCCAGGGAGAAAAGTTTGGGACCCAGACAGGGACTTTAAATTGAAAGAAGAGTTTTTCTCTGCAAACTGCTTGCAAACACTAGGGCAGGTGGTCCAAAAACTTACCAACAGTTAAAATTCAACATGCATTCTGGCTGCTAGATTTCTCTTTTCCCTCTCCTTAGCCCAGTCGAACTTCTGATATTTCCTAGGGTTCTTTTTGGTGGAGAAATGCTTACTAGAAGGAAAAGTTCTTGTGGAGAAAGTGGGGGGCAGAAACGATATTGGAGGTTTCTTGCAATATTCGAACAGTGAAATGGAGTGGCCAGCATTCTAGTTGCCCTGATGGATGGAGATCCCTGAATTCATTCACCTCATTGGGTTCTGTCTGTTTTTGGGTACTGAGGAGAGGTGACCTGAAAATACGTGGTATTTCCTGAAAAAATATTTCATCATTAATGAATTGCTGGTCACTCCAGTCAGAAGCTTGAGGGATAGCTGTACGTACATTCACAGTTTGCTCCTCAGTCACTAGGCAAGTCCCAAAGACACCTTCCATGATTACCAACTACTACTTTCATCAGACATTTGGCATCAGATATCTAGTGTGGTTTAAAAATATGGTTTTTCTCCAAGCATATTCTCTAGACATTCTGTTTCTAACAAGGGCACTGATGGGAAAACCAGCTTCCTGCCAGTTTGTTTGTTTTGCTGCTGTTATTGTTTTTGAAAGCACACACACAAACAAAAGACAAATAAATGTGTTGATCTAAGTCAGCTTGATATTCAAAGTTTCTAAGGAGAAGCATTAAGGTAGTATGTGTTTCTTTCAGAGGTCCTTATTGACAGGTGCAATTTATAAAAGCCATTCCATATATAGTCCAAGTGAGCTTCATTGCCATTGATTTCAATGGGAAACCATGCCAAATAATTGGATTTTTGACTTGTCTAGCCACCGCTAGTGGAGGCTGTAAACTTATTTGGAAACCTTGTCTCTAGCTGGCAGGCTTTCCTGACAGTTTAGATGCCTGCAACGCAGCAGCTCTCGGAGTGGTGTTTATAGTAATCTCATGTTATATGCAGTGAACATTACGTCCGATTGTATTGCGCTGCACACAGAAAGTTTGTTGTGTCCACAAAGTCTGGGCCCGAAGTATATAATGTGAAAGTGTTGTCGAGCTGGTTTCCTTGCCATGCTTACTAGAGGGATTCATATCCACACACCCAGGAACAACTTCTCTTGGGCTGCTTTTCAGTTTAAATCGACTCCATGGAGACATTTGGGCTAGAGACAAGTGTTTGGTCAAATCAGCAATGCTGAGGCGGGAACTTGTGCGGAAAAGCATTAGCACTTACAACACTCTGTCTTGTAGCTTTCTCAGTTTCATATCTGCTAGGCTTCTCTCCCCAAGGTGTTGCAGTGCAATGTAGCCACATTTTCATTTTCTAGTCTCTTGTATCTACTCAGAACCTAGTGCTCTTGAACATGGAAAGTGTGGGGCGATTCTTCCCCAAATGTGTGTTTTTGGATCCCTCTACCTATCCTTCCCAGCAAACATGCTGCCCAACAGCAATCACGTAAGATCTTTAGCTTCATTTTCTAATTTGAAAAGAATATGCTATTAGTTGTTATTATTATACATATTTTTACCAGTATATGATGCTTACCACTTCTTCTTCTTCTTTTTTTTAAATGTTAACAGCAGTGCTGGAATAAATAGCTAAAGACTCTGGAAACCAAAGCACACACTCTTTTATACGACTTGGAATAACATTTTTGCAGTCCACAAGTTGGAATAACACTTTTGCAGTCCACAAAATAGAAACCCTTAGGAGAAGGAAGGGTGTGTGCATATTTGTCCACACAACAGATTGTCAGTAAGAGAAAGGAAGCTGCTCTTTCAACATTTTAGAAAGGCTCAAACCATAATTGGATTTTCATATCAATTTATTACCATGACACCTTTATAGAAAGGGCTCTGTAGGTGACCACAGATGGTGAGGAATTCAGTTCAACTTGTCTGAGAGACAAGTTCAGGATGTGCTCATCATCTCATGCCTGGATTATTCAATGGTATCTCATCTCCTTCTTGTTTGTATTTCCATTATTTAATTTATTGTTGAATTTTTCATCTCCTCCATTAGAATGTAAGTTCCATGAGGACAGATACTTACTCACTGCAATACCTAGAACAGCATTTAGCACATAGTAGATGCTCAAGCAATAGGTGATGAAGCATAAAAACCCAAATGTGAGCTTTTAAATATTCAAAATGAAGATAACTATATATTTAGGACAGCTTATGGCCATGAGACCTGTCAACGCAATGTGCCATGAGCTAGCTGGGATGCAGGTTTTATTAACATCATTGCCCAGGTTGGGGCATAGAAATCTAAACTGAGGTGGGAACTGGGCCAGATGTGTGGCAGAGTTGTGGCCCAGGGCTGAATCCCACTGTTGTGATCGTGCGGGCTTTCTCTTTCCCCTCTTTATAGCCCTTCTTTCACACTGGTGAAGGGTGGTCTTTACCAGAGCAAGAGGATTTTTGTGGTTATCACCTGCAAAGAATTAACAGCTGAGGATACTACAGGGCAGTGTCCCCTATACATTCCAACCCCTACCCATACCCTGCCATGCTTTATTTTTCTCTAGCACTTCCCACCGTCCGAATGCTGTATAGTTTATTTATTTTTAGGTTTATTGTCTGTCTCCCCCAGCTAGAATATAAGCCCCATGAAGACAGGGTTGTTGGTTCACTTTGGTCACTTGCTTTTGGTTTGCTTTTTATCCCCAGTGTCTACACTTCCACCCAGTATACAGTAATACATATTTGAAACATAGAGCTGTTTTACATATTTCTCTAAGAAAGAATTAGGAAGAACTCTTAACTTAGCATTGTAGCATCATCAACATACTAACAGTGCATCAAATATTGGAAATGCGAGTTTTGAACACTATCTTAGCTGGGATTATAGACACCTGCAAGCCCAGGTGTCTGTTATGATGATGGCGCCCATGCCCCTTGAGCGAGGTGCTGCACACTAATGCTCAGAGGCTGCCTGTGATTCCAGGGAGGGTGCTGGTCCTCAGCCTTGCTCTGCGGCCCTGATGATCTTATGCACATGCTCCCATTTCTCTAAGTGAGAAGAGAACAAATACTGCACACCTGAGCTTTCTTAATTGAAACTGTCAGAGGGATGCTGTCCTCTTACTCTTTGGAGAGGTACCTCATTTTTCCTTTTCCATAAACCTCAGTTCGTCCCAATGAGCTGTTGTCATACCTCTTTTCACTGGAGGACTGGGTAGAGTTTTTGAGTCCCTCTCAATTGTTTTTTTGTTACAGAATCTTCCAGTCAGGGAAATAGGGCTGTGGGTGTTCTATAGACCCCTGATGAAGCCTCATAGGGCTCCTTGGGTTTGAGCAATTGGGTCATGACTGTACCTTGGGTCCCGACCAAAAGTTTTTCTATTGCCAGCCTGCTAGATGATGACAGAAAGGTGTTTCTATGCTGCATTTTTGAAAAACTGAGAGCAAGAGAGCAGGTTTTACTTATTCCTTGGCATTTATTGTGACAATTATAATTATCTAATCTCATATATTTATTTTGCCCAACTATGAGGTAGTTGGTATAATAAATTTTATGCTTATATAACACTCCATGAAGATGATGATGCTTTTTTGCATTACCTAAAGTAATATTATTAATATAAAGGCAAGAGAATGGCTATTAAGTTAATAGACTGCACAACTATTGTTTTTGTCTATGCAGCAAGCTTCCCATCCACCTTACTATGCTAACAGACTCTACTCCTCACCCCAGCATAGTACAACTGGCCAATCACAGAATTTACCTTCCAGGCAGTAAAAGTTAGTCTCAAGTAGGGTATGGATCCCAAACAGAAGCATTAGAGTCTCTCATGACATCTCTGTATTGACTGTGGGAAAGGGAGGCTTTTGTTTTCTTCTGGACTTTCATGGGGCTGCCATTGGATCCATTTCCCACCTCACAGAGAAGACCTTTTTATGGTAGGAGGCAGTGAGGCCAGTGCTCAAAAGGAAGCAGAAAAGATGACTGGAAATCCCTGGGTCAGCTCCTGGAGGTCCCAGTTCCTGTAGATGTGTCTCCAGTTCTGTCAGCTATCCCAGCTACATGAGCTAGTTAGACTCTGTTTTTGCTTAGGATGTTTTGAATTCAGTTTCTCTGAAACAGTCTTAACTAATACCCTATTGATGTACAGAGAAGTTAAGTGACTCTTCCAACCTACACAGCAAAGATGAGAAAAGCCATAGGCAAAAAAGCCTGGGCCTTTGGTTTTAAATTTCTTATTTAAGCCCTCTCTGTTTTCTTTCTATTTAACTGAATTTTTAAATGATATAATTAGTGTTCTGGCAACATGGGATTACTCAATTAACATTTACTGAGTGTCCATTAGGTGCCAGTCAGTTTGCTAAGCCCTGGGTTTGCAAAAGTAGGTAAGATACTTACCTGACTTTCAGCAATTTGAAGGCTAGTGGCAGAGACTGACATGAGTACCTGGAGGTGATGAATATAGTTCCAGGGGGATGCGGGGGAAACTACCTCTACCTGGGAGGGCCAGAGAAGGTGTTACAGACTACAGTGAATTGTGTATTCATTCTAGCAGACTCATCAGAGTCATAAGGAATAAACTTGCTTAGACTCTTTTCATTAATGTCAGCCTTTTGCAAAAAT